CGAGGCCTGCGCAGACGAAGCGAGCCCGAGACGGGCTCGTGCGAGGGACGGCGCCGCACGGTCGAGCCCGGCTCTGCTGGGCGAACGTATTCAGATCCGCCGCCTGTCGACGTTTACCCGACGGCCGATCCGTGGCTTGTTGGTCCTGGCCCCGGGAGTTCGTTGCTTTGTTCGGTTAGCCCGTAACGTCTGCTACGGGGGGTCGCCACCGCCAAACCCCCCCGTAACGGTGCCGAGCGTATACGCGGGAGGGGTGCCCGCTCCCCCACAGGCATGGCGCGGTGCTCACAGGCCACGTTTTGGTGCTCCCGTGCAGGCTGTCGCGGGCCCGACCCCCGGCCCCCATTGCCCCTCCGTGGCGGGGGTTATGCACGGGAGGGGGGGGGGGGGGGGGGCACGCGGCCCGGCCAAGGTTTTCCACGAGCTTGGTCTTGCCCCCCCCCCCCCCCCCCTATATATATATATATATATATATATATATATATATATATAATATAATATATATATATATATATCGGAGGTGAGGGAGTGGGATCGAAGTGGAACGGAGAGCCCTCCTACCGGGAAATCGGTTTCGTGTTCGTGTGCGTGCCGTTCGTGCGGGCGAAGCGAAGCTGCGTGGGCGGGCGAGAAATGCCCCGCCTCTGGCTGAGGCGCGGCCGGACCAAAAGTTTCCCTTTTGGCAACCGGTTCCGCTCGGTGTCCCGCCGGTGCCCCGTCGGTGTCCCGATCATGATGATGAGGATGATGATGATGATGACGATGTGGAAGATGATGATGATGATGATGATGATGATGATGGCCATGGTGGTGCTGATGATGGCGCCTCGATGATGATGATGATGGTGATGATGTTGATGACGCCGATGTTGATGATGATGATGATGATGGTGTCCCGATGATGATGACGATGGTGATGACCCCGATGATGATAATATGATGCGGATGATGATGATGGTGCCCCGATGATAATGCTGAGGAGGTTGCTGATGATGCGGTTGTAAATGGTGATTGCGATGATGATGGTGTCCCGATGATGATGATGGTGTTGATAATGATGATGATGATGGCGTCCCGATGATGAGGATGGTGATGTTGATGATGAGGAATATGATGAGGTTGATGATGATGATTGTAATGGTTGTGGCCCAGTCATGATGATCATGATGCTGGTATCCAGATAATGTTGATGACGATGATGGTGACGATGATGATGGTGTCCCGATGATGATGATGCGGTTGGTGATGATGATGTTGTTGATGATGATGATGGTGTCCTGATGATGTTGTTGATGATGTTCATGATGATTGTGATATGGTGATGATGGTGGTGTTCCGATGATGATGGTGATGCTGGTGTCCCGATGCTGATGATGTTGATGATGCGGATGGTAACAATAATGGTTTTCCCGTTGATGGTGACGATGGTGGTGATCATGATGATGGCCATGGTTGTGATGATGATGGTGTCCCGATGATGATAATTATGATGATGGGAAAGGGATGAGGAGGATGAGGATGAGGATGCTGAAGATGATGTTGATGATGCAACTGTTGTTGGTGATGATGATGGTGTCACGATGATGATGATGTTGCTGGTGACCCTGATGATGGTGATGATCATGGGGATGATGAAGTGATGCGGATGGTGAGGATAAGTATGCGTATGATCGTGTCCCGATAATGTTGATGATGATGAGGTTGATGGTGATGTTGTTGATGGTGATGATGGTGATGATGATGGTGTCCCGATGATGTTGATGTTGATGATGATGGTGGCGATTATGGTGTTCGATGATGATGATGCTGGTGGTGAGGTTGATGACGAGGTGATAATGATTTTGATGATGGTGGCCGGATGATGATGATGCTGATGTTGTTGATGATGATGGTGTCCCGATGATGAAGAGTTGGGTGATGATGAGGGTCAAGATGATGATGATGATGGTGTCCCGATGATGATGGTGTTTGTGATGGTGCGATTGGTGATGATGATGATGATGATGGTGGCGTCCCAGTGATGGTGATTTCGAAGATGTTGTGCATGATAATGATGATGAGGTGATAATGATGATGGTGGTGTTCCGATGATGATGATGATGATGGTGTCTGGATGATGACGGCGTTGGTGATGATGATGATGATGATGATGATGATGGCGACGATGATGGTGTTTCGATGAAAACGATGGTGATGATGCTGATGATGATGTGTATGATTATGGTGGTGAGGTGATGATTTTGATGATGGTGGCCCGATGATGGTGGTGATGATGATGATGATGATGATGATGTTGATGACGTTGGTGACGGTGACGTCGATGATGATGATGATGATGACGTTGATTGCGAGATCGATTGTGGTATCGGTGTTGATATCGACAGTGGGAACGAATGTGACATAGATTGTGAGATCGATAGTGATATCGATTGTGGGATCGACTGTGGGATCGATACTCAGATCGATTGTGATATCGACCGAATAAAATAGGTCGGGTGATATCGATTGCGATATCGATGGTGTGAGATCGATCGGGCGAGACCGATCGTGGGATCGATAGTAAGATCGATAGTGAGACCGATCGAGCGAGACGTTGGCTCCCCCCCGAACCTCCTTATCACCCAAAGGATGGTCCTATAGGTGTGTACATATACATATATATATATATACATATATACATATATATATATATATATACACCGACGCCGTCTAAGGAAGTCTTCCTGGGCCTCAGGGGAGGGCGGCGGTGTATATAAATTATCAATGGGTGCCAGCGACCTCATACACCGCGACCCCCTGAAGGTCCACACAAAATTCGTCAGCGAGTGTCTGTGTATATCAGTATCGTTGAACCGACCCCCCACCATCTCAGCACCCCAGATGTAGATGTACCCGTCGAAACCCGAAGGAAACGCTTAAATTACCACCTAGTGTGGTAATTCGGCCAGTCGGGCCCAGGCGACGCCCTTCGGGACAAGGATCGATAAAACGATGCTCAGTATATACTTTCGTGGCGTGGTCTTGGCCCCGGAGGAGGCAGCCGCCGCCGCGCCCACGACGCGCCTGCGGCTCCTCCTCGCGGCAGGGGGGGAGTTGGCGCGCCTGCGCGCGGCGGGCGGGCCCGACGCGCCGCTGGAGCCCTTGCTGCCGCAGCTCTCGCGGGCGCTGGAGGCCCTCACTTCGGCTGCGCGCGCCCGGAGATCCGGTTTCAACCGCGCGCAGAAGGGGGCAGACAGAGGAGGAAAAGGTACCGATACCGCTACCATCGCCTCGTTTTCCTTTACTTCGCCCTCCTGGGAGGCCTCGGTCGCCACCGTTGGATTCGCCTCGGAATTCTGGTCAGAACGTACCCCGGGAGAGGTCCACGGAGTAGTGGTATCAGAACCTTTTGGTTTCCCCACTTCTTGCCGCCCGCAGAGGGGGGTAGGGGGAGGGGGCAGGCTCCTTAGAGGCACAGTGCTTCTTAGGAGGCGCGGGCCTTCATTACGAATCCAGGGGCCGAGCCTTCCAAGAATCTGTCATCCTTCTGAGCAGGTTTCGTCCCTTCCCCCATATCCCCTTGTGCGCTCCGCCAGCGGTTGTTGATGGGGTGGCGTCCTTTTGTTGCGCGTCGCAAGGGCTCTGTGCTGGAGCTGCAGTGCTTCTCCCACCGCTTGGCGCTCTCCTTGTGCGCTGACGCCACGGTGTCCAAGCTGTTGAAAGGCCAGGATCAGCTCTCGGACACCCTGCCGAGCACGAACTGATCGAGCAGGCATCTGTCGTCTTAATCTCCCCTGCCTTCTGTGAGAAGGTTTTCGGAACGCCTGCGCGGTGCACTTCACATCATCGCACGCTCGGTGCCACACGTTCTATACACGTGAGGCCCCGTGCTGGCCACCTGCCGCACGCTTGCCTGGCAGTCGTCGAACACTGCGCGCCTCCATGCCGCGTGCGATTGCTGTTCGTAGTCCTGCCCCAGTGCCCTCGGCATCGCTCGGACGTGTGCGTTTTTTCCTCGGTGAGGACCATAGAAGAGCATCCTTGATCATTTGGCTAAAAAACCACGACGAAACCAACAAAAAGCACACGGAATGGACGTTCGAGCGATGGCGAGTGCCACCTTCCCTCCCTCCTCTGCCTGCCCCTCCCAGCCACGGCCCGGCGGCAGCGGGCGGCCGCCCCGGGAGCGCCGCGTGGCCGCCGCACTGCTTCCCCTGGGCCTGCCGCCCGCCAGCAGGGCCCCAGCTGAAAAAATAACCACCGACCATCACCATCGCCACCATCGCCACCATCGCCATCATCACCATCACCACCACTATTATCAGTATGACCACCATCATGAACATCATCAGCATCACCATCATCATCAGCATCAGCATCACCATCATCGTCGTCGTCATCGTCTGCATGCTCACCATCATCGTCGTCATCATCACCATCATCATCGTCATCATCATCATCACCACCCTCATCTTCATCATCACCTCCTCCTGCTCCTCCTCCCCCTCCCCCTCCTCCTCCTCCTCCTTCTTCTCCTCCTCCTCCTCCTCCTCCTCCTCCCCCTCCTCCTCCTCCTCCTCCTCCTCCTCCTCCCCCTCCTCCTCCTCCTCCTCCTCCTCCTCCCCTCCTCCTCCTCCTCCTCCTCCTCCTCCCTCCTCCTCCTCCTCCTCCTCCCCTCCTCCTCCTCCTACCTCTCCTCCTCCTCCTCCTCCTCCTCCTCCTCCTCCTCCTCCTCCTCCTCCTCCTCCTCCTCCTCCTCCTCCTCCTCCTCCTCCTCCTCCTCCTCCTCCCCCCCCCCCTCCTCCTCCTCCTCCTCCTCCTCCTCCTCCTCCTCCCCCCTCCTGGACGCTGCAGGTCCCGCCGCCCGACGCGGCCGGCGCCGACGACCCCGGCAGCGAGAGCGAGGCAGGCGGCGCGGCGGCTCTGGCGCGCGTGCGTGCGCTGCGGTACGACCGCCGCGTGCTCGCAGCGGCGGAGGCCTTCGCGAGGGCCCTGGACGCGAAGAGGAGGGAAAGGCACCGATGCCGCTGTTCGTCCTGAAGGCTCTGGGGTTCCTGAGTTTTTCCTGCAGAATTCAAGGCGCGGGCCGGTTTCCATCAGCTGTGCCTCGACGAGGTCGTTCCAGGGGTGCCAGAATCGTCCCGAACGGCCGCCTGAGAGCTGAGTTATGGCCCGAGAGCCAGGGGCAGCGTTAGGGACGGTAGGCTCAGGGGGGGGGCGATTCTTTCGGCATCGACCACCGCTCATCCTGGGAAGCCCTCGTCGCCGCGGCTGGCTTCGCCTCGAGATCCTGGTCGGCATTCAGGATCGAAAGAAGGACGCAGAAGCACATGAATCCACGCTGGTTTTGAAAGTACGCATTGCGCAAACGTTCGTATCACAAGGCTGGTCTCGCGCACCAGGGGGCCGTAATTATGTGCACGTGGTTGGGCGCGTACGTCCTTTGTGGGCTCCCTGGGAGTGCGCCCAGGGAGAGGCCCGGCGAGGGAAGGAGCAGCTTCGGCACACGCCTTGCCCGCCCGCCCCCCCCCCAGGACGAGCGCCCGCGGGAGGACCGGAGCACGGCGGCGCGCCGGGTGATCGGGCGGGCGGCAATGGGGGGGGGGGGACGTAATGGGGGGTGAAGACGAGGCCAGCCACGCGCAGAGAGGGCAGGGGGGAGGGGCGAAGGCTTCTCAGAAGCATCCCTGCTTCTCAGGAGGCGCGCGCCTCGTCTTTCCAGAGGTCGGTCCGGCGCCCTCTGAGAAGCAGGCTCTTTCTAAGGAGCCTATCCCCCTCCCCATACCCCCTTCGGGCGGGGCTAGGACGAGGACAATCCGTTCCCGAGCGTTCCAGGACGCTCTCAGAGCGATCTGGAGCGTTCTGAAAAGACCGCGGCGCCCGAGACACCTTTCGAAGCCGCCGAATCTCAGAGATTCTCGATGTAGCCTTGCCTGTTTTCATCCTCGTTCTTGCCTCGTCGTGCCCCTTGTGCGCGCCGCCAAAAAAGGGCCCTCGAGGGGCCCATGGCTGGCCACCTCTCCTGTGGGTCGCCCCCCCCCTAAGGGCCACCCGCCCTTTCTAGGTGAGGGCGGCGCCGGAGCACGGCGAGGCGCCGGGCCAGGGCGGGGCGCTGGCGGACCGGCTGCGGGAGGACCCCGCGGGGGCTCCTGCGGCTGGACGTGCTTGCGTTGGCGGCAGGGTCGTGCGGCGTTGGCGCGCCCGCGACGACGGCGAGGGCGTCCAAGGTTGCGGCGCGGAAGTGCCGATTGACACGGCGACGCCACTGGCCACAACGGGATTCAGCCTTGAACGACCGGGGCCGCGTTCGGCTCTAGGCGGAACGATCGCGGCGGTGTCAAGAACCTTTGCGCGTGCCGACCCCGCACGAACCTACCTTATAGCGGTGCAGAGCGAGGCCGGGGCCGAGGGGGTTCGGCGCGCGGGGGCTCGGTGCCCTCCCCCTCTCTCGGGGAGGTTGTTTTGGGAGGGACTATGCATCGGACGGGGCTAGGACGAGGATACATCCGTTCCAGAGCGTTCCGGAACGCTCTCAGAGCACTCCAGAACACGCTCTACGAAAACCGCGGCGCCCGATACATCCTCCAGAGGCGCCAGGTTTCAGAGAGGCTCTCCTCACACGCATTTATCCTCATCTTGGCTTCGTCTCATTACGTTCCCCTGGCCATCGTCGCAGGAGGGGCTCTTGTTTTCGGGCCAGTCATTGTAGGAGTCGACCACCGAACACATGACCTGACCCCACCTACGGCCCTCCATGTTGCGCTACGGCCCATCGGGGGCCGTAGCGTATACCAAGCAAAATCCCCCGCCAGGTTTGTTGGTATATGCTGAGCCCCGTGGGACCATAGATGGGGTGGGTCTTGGGACCTGTTCCTGGCGGGGGGGGGGGGCTGTGTTCGGCCCCTGGGGTGCCTGGCAGCCTGGCCCCGGGAGTGTCCACAAGCTATCGGGGTAAAAAGGACCTGCCATGGGGAACGAAGGGTCGGGACTTTCGGGGGGGGGGGGGCCCAGCAGGACGTCCCGTGTCTGAGCTCTTGGCTGCTCGCGGAGGGAGAAGTGGCGTTCTGGAGGGTTTGTTCAGCCGGTCGCTGCCTGCGTTGGGGGCTGTGCCATGGTCGGTTCGGGCGCATCCAGGTGGGATGGGGGGTCTACGAAATCTGCTGCATGCAGCTGGTTTCGGCTCCGCCGCTGGGCGCTTCAAAACAAAGCATCTACATATATGTATACAGACACACCTATACACACATATGTATGTCGGTGTGTGTGTAGAGAGAGAGAGAGAGACCAACCAACCAGCCTACCTACCTTACCTACCTCCCTACCGTCCCGTCGACCTATCGACCTACCTACCTGTTAACCTACATCTAGACATACATACATACATGCGTACACACATACATATATACTTACATACATTGAATACATACATACATACATACATACATGCATACATACATACATACATGCATGCATGCTAACATACACACATACAAACACACCCCATATACGCATACACGCACACGCACATACATACACACATACATACATACATACATATATACATACATACATGCATGCATCTATACATACATACATATATACATACCTACGTACGTACATGCATGTATACATACATACGTACCCACACGCGCATATATACATATATATGCACGTATACGCACGTGTGTATACGCATACATACATACATACATACATACATACATGCATACATACATGCATCCGCATGTACATGTCTGCATGCACGCATACCTACTCGCATGCACACATGCAGTCATGCATATGTGCATGTACGCGTGCATACATACATGCATACATACACGTGCATGCATGCATACATACATACGGACGTACATGCATACGCACATACATACATACATGCATACACACATGCATCTATACATACAGATATGCATACAGGCATGCACGTACGCATTATGACATGCATTCATGTACACATACATGTACGTAGACATGCATACATACAGATACATACACACACATACAAGCATGCATGCATACATACGTACACATGCACATGCATGCATACATACATACATACACACATATATACATGCATGCATGCATGCATACATACAGTCATACATACATACATACCTGCATGCATGCATACATACATACATGTATGTATACATATATATATATATATATATATGTAGGTGCATGCATGCATGTATGCACTCGTATACACATAGCATGTGCACATGCATAGATACACATACTCACATGCATACGTACGCACATACATACTTGCATACGTGCATACACACATACACGCATGCATACAGACAGACAGGCATGCACGCATGCAAACACTCCGTATGTACACGCATACGTGCATACCTACATACTTGCATGTGCATGCGCGCATACTTACACACGCATGCAAACATCCCTAATCACATACATTACACACTTACAGGTGCAAGGTACACTGTGTATATGTGTATATGCATACATGACAGGAGACGCCGGAGAACTCAGCTACGTGAGCTGATTCGCTTGCCCCCCTCCATTTGCTACCCCCCCTTTCGTGCCGAGAAGGGCTCGAGAAACTCGGGCCGTCGGGGGCCTGAGCCAGGGCCCAGTTCGATACGATCGATCCGATTCAATGTTGATTCTGGTCGGCCCGATCCAATTCGATCCATTCCGACGATCCGATGCGGCCCGATGCTTGCATGGGGTGTTGTTGTGCATCCTGGCGCAGCCAATCCGATTCGATTTCGATTCCGTGCCGATGCAGCCCGATCCGGTGCACATGTTGGTTCGATCCGATCTCCTGGCCTGAGCCCTCAGGACCTGGACGTGGCCACGGAAGCCTTAGGCCGTGCGGAGCGCTCCGCGGAGCTCGAAGTCCTGGGCGCGCGGAAGCGGGGCTGGGCAGCGGGCGCCCTGCTGTCAGAGGTCGACTGCATGTAAGAGTAACCTTTCGCTGGAGCGAGCTTCGGCGGCGGGCCCAACGGGCCCCCCCGATCGCGGACTGCGATGCGACGGCAGCGGCCTGCGCTCTCGGGTTTGGCCTCCCCGCGGCTCCCAACCGCCGCGCACCAGGGGTCACCCCAGGGTGGCTCCTGCGTGCAGCCGAGAGGTGGCCGATGCCTGCCGGACCCTCGACGAGGCGGTGTCCTTCGTGCACGTGGAGCTGGCCGCCCTCGGGGGCGCGCCCGCGGAGGCAGCGGCGGAGGGTGGGGGCGCGCTGCCGCCGCCCCTGGAGGTGCGGCATGGCCCGCCTGCGCTGCCCGCGGGCGCCGCCGGGCAGTGTGCCGTGCCGTTGGGCGTGCCGCCGGCCGCCGCCACTCACGCGCAGGTCCACAGTTCGCAAGGGCGACCCTTCGCTGGAGCGACCAGCCCGGTGGGGGCCAACGGGGAGCCCCCCGATCGCTGAGCGAGATGCGACAGCAGCGGCCTGCGCGCTCGGTTCTGGCCTCCTCGCGCCCCCTCTCATGAGCGCGCTCCAAAGGTCACTCTTGCCCAGGGTCACTCTTACGTGCAGCCAAAGGCGGCGCGGGTCGTGGGCACGCTGATGGTGGTGGAGCTCGCGCGCCACTGCGCGGAGACCGCCTGCTCCGCCGCGCTGCAGGGGTGCGCGCGGCGGCGGGCGGAGGCGATGCTGCTGGAAGCGATCGCGGAGCAGCACATGACCGAGGCCGAGTTGCCTGCGCGCGGCACTGCGTGCGGTGCGTCCTGTGCCGATGTGGTCAAGGCGGGCCCTCCTTCTCGCGCGAGCGCACAGTCTGAGGGCCCTGGAGCCGCTGAGACCTCAACGGAGCCGTCCTCCCGCGCAAGCGCGCAGATCGAGTGCTCTGGAGCCCCTGCGGCCGAGAGGAGGCCACACCCCCGGGCAGCCACACTGGCCTCTGGCGCCACGGTGGCCGTGTCGGAGACTTTCTCCCGCGCAGGTGCGCAGTCTGTGGACCTTGGCTCTGGCGTGGCCAAGGCAGAGCTGCTCTCCCGCGCGAGCTCAAGGGAGGCACCCACGGAGCTGCCATCCCGCGCGGGCACACGCGCCACTGAGGCCGTGGCGGAGGTGCACTACTGCGCGGGCTCGAGATGCGAGGGCCCTGCCACTGACGAGGAGGATACGCTGGGTGTGCCCGAGGAGCTGCTCTCGGCGTGCTTCGCCGCCGACTTCGGGCCGATCCTGGAGGATTTCGCGAAGGACCCCACAGTGAGACTCATGGCAGGAGAGGCGGCGCAGCTCGGCGCCGGGCTGCGCGCGCACTCGGCTCTGGAGCTGCCCGCCGCTGGTCCGAGGCCACCGACGCCAGAGCCCATGGGCGCTGTCCCGGCGCCGTCCGCGTGGTGGCGCAGGCGGCCAGAGGGGGCACCAGCGACGCTCTTCGGCCTGTCCCCGTGCCGGCGCTGCCTGGCCGTGTCCAGGGCGGCCTGCGGCGCGGGCGGGCGGTGTGGCGACCGCAGCGGCCACAGGGTCCAGCCTGGAGAGTTGAAGGGCTCGGCGCCAGGCGACAAGGTCGCCCAGCACGCCGTCGCGCTGCGTGTGTGGCTCTGGGCCCGTGCGCAGCAGTCGCTGGCGCTGGGGCTGATGCGCGGCCTGGGGCCCTCCGCCGTGGCGCACCTGCACCTGGAGAGGGCCCAGGCCCGCCTCCTGGAGCTCGCCTGGCTCCGCACTGTGCGGAGGCAGGAGGCCGAGGCCGCCCTGGACGCACGACTCTCGGCGCTGCGCCGCGCGGCGCGCTTCCTGGGGCCCCTCGGCGCGGACGCCGCAGGCGCCTCCGGGCTCCTGGCCTCGGAGGTGGCGCTGCACGCCGCCGAGGTGCGCGGCAGCCTCGGGCGCGCCGCCGAGGCGGAGGCCGCGTCCGCCGCCGCCGCTGGGGCGCGGGCCAGCCTGGCGCCAGCGGGCCTGGCGCGGGGCGCGGACGAGGGCGAGGACGAGGTGCCGCAGCTGTGGGGCACGCTGAGGGCACTCGGCCTGCTGGAGAGCGCGTGCGCCCAGCACTCCAGCAGAGGTCCGGGCCAGTGACTTGCCGCAGCGCCTCCCTCCTCCCTCCTCCTCCTCCTCCTCCTCCTCCTCCTCCTCCTCCTTCCTC